GCCACCAGCACCTTTGCCACCCCTTTCCTCAGGTCCAGCCATTGTTGAAACTGCTCCAAGGGGCTCTGATACCACTTGTTATAATCATAGTAGGCTTGAATGTGCCTAAAACGAAAGATAGAGTGCACCGTCGGATTTCTGCACAGCGGCTTTAAACGTTCATAGTGTTCTGCTCACTGCTCCAAATGACATGCTACAAATTGGATCTAGAGCGTCTTGACGTCGTCTACGACAAGCAATTTAGATCGCACTATTTCATCAACTATTAACAACTCAACATCAGTTTGAACGAACGGCACTATAGCAGCCACTATAGTCTTAGAACACAAATTAGGAAGAGTTACGAGTTGGGAATGACTCCCTGCCTCTACAAACCCCAAGAGCCGAGGTACAGTAATTTGGAACAGTGTCACAGTGTCCCCAACCATGAAGGGTCTCGAAACTACCCTCCACAAGGGCCTACACCAAGAGAAATGTTACACTACACATTGTAATGTAACTATTCTCATTATCTTGAAGTTTACCCTTATGAAGAGTTTCAAAATCACTTGAATCTTGAAACCAAGGCTCCGGTTCTTCAAGATAAATTCTTTCTTGAGTTCTTGGAAGTCTGCTGCGCACACCTGCGACACGACGAACGTTCCACACACAACAAAATAGAAAACCGCACACGACACGAAAACGACGACGTGACACGTGACTAGCGATAACTCGCTATTGACTCGACACACACATTCAAAATCATGCATCATCATACACACACAATGTTAAGCATGAAATATATATGATCTCATGCCCTCATACCATTCCATGCACACACGCATGCACGCACACGGACAACAAGCCGAATGCAAACCGTAGGGTTGCACCAACAGGTGGTGGGAGAGTAGGAGGAGTGGGTGGAGGAGTGGATGCTGAATTCACCGGTGAGGTTGGGTTAGAGACCTCGAAGGAGGATGGTGCCACGGCAGGAGGTGAGGAAGCTGGTACAAGTGGAAGTTTGGGAGGGGTATCAAAGTCAGCCCACACAAAAGAGGGTTGTGTAGAGGGAGAATTTTCCTTTGACGTGGAGTAGAAGGGTCGAGTCTCATCAAAGACAACGTCATGGCTACGGAATAAGTTTTGAGTGGTGGGGTTGAGGAAGATATAGCCGGGGGAGTCGGCATTGTGCCTAAGATAGATGCACGTTTGAGTCATGGGATCGTGCTTGCCACCTTGTTGCCGTCGCCCCTGAGAGTTGAGGAGGACATAGGCGGTGCACCCCCAGACGCGAAGTGGGCGAGCAGTGGGTGTTTTCCCAAGCTAGAGTGTGGCGGGAGTGGTGTCGGGAAGATGCGGGTGGGGGTTAAGATTGTAGAGGAGGGCGGCATGGTAGAGGGCGTACCCCCACAGTGAAAGTGGGGCGTGGGAGTGGCTGAGGAGATAGTGAGTGATCAGCATCAAAGTGTGAGTACGACTCTCTGCTATGCCATTCTATTGTGGGGTGTCAGGAAGTGTGAAGTTCTGCTGAATGCCGAGAGAGGAACAGAAGGCTTCGAGCTTGCTGTTGCAAAATTCATCACCACCATCCGAATGGAGGCACTTGACCTTGGTGCCAAAGGTAACATGCGCATGTTGAACCCATGCCATGATAGTCTTTGGAGCCTTAGCCTTGGTGTGGAGGAGGTGCATAGAAACGTAGCAAGAGTGGTCATCAACTATTGAGAGGAAGTAGCGATGACCACCTCGTGCGGCAACCGGGTTAGGACCCCAGACGTCTATGTGCACTAGATCCAAGGGGGCTGCTGCGACTGAGGGTGAGGCTGGGTGAGGTTGTTTGCGCAGCTTGCTCTTAGTGCAGTCACAGCACGTGGGAGCGGGGGAGTCAGGTGGTGGAGGAAGTGAGGCTGGTAGGCCGAGAAGAAGCTTCTTGGAGGCCATGTCAGCGAGCGTGCGGAAGTTTGGTTGTCCGAGCCAATGGTGATAGAGGATGGTGGGATTGGCGAGACTGCGACATGAGCATGGAGTGACAGTAGCCTGTGCTTGGGTGGTGGACACTTGTGGGGCCGATAAACGCAGCGTGTAGAGGTCGCTGCTGTTGAGGGTGAAATGAGCTAAGAGCTTTTTGGTGAGTGGGTCAAGGATGTCCCACTAGTCAGCGTGTGGAGGAAATTTGGTGAGGACCCTCCCCCTTCTGAAGTTCTTTTTGGGCCACTAGATTGTGGCGTAGTGAAGGCACATACATGCCAGTGACTGTGCCGGATGGGAAGGCAGGGCACATAACTGTGGGCGACCCCATAGCATGAGTCGTGAAGCTCCAATCAGCTCCCAAGAGAGGAATGGATGCTGAGAAGGGTTGGAAGGAGTGTTTCTCCTTGAGCACAGTGTGAGTGGCCCCACTGTCGAGTGTGAATTCTATGAGGTTGGGTGTGTGTGATGAGCCAAGGTTCAAAATCATGGCAGTGTCGAGGAACAACATGTTCAGACGCACATCAGCAGGAGCACTAGCACTTGCACTAGCCTGAGCAGGTTCCTGTGCCTCAACTTGGTTGACCTTACAAGAGCGCATCCAGTTTGGCGGCTTCTTGTCGACTCCATGGACGGCATACCATTCGTCATCCTTCTTCTTGAAGCAATTAGCGAAGGGGTGGTTAGTGCCACCACACACTTGTCCCTTGAAATTGCCATACTTGACGACGTAGGTGCATGGAGGGAAGCGGTTGCGTTGGAAGGGCGCCGAAGTAACGCTCGCTTGAGGCACGGGGCCACGGAGGGCGTAGGCCTTGGCTTGTGCCATGGCATCTTTCTCGGCGGAGAGGAGTGCGGAGGAGACTTTTGCGAAGGTGAGGTCAGCTGCTGAGAGGGTGAGGAGCATCTTCCTGGTCACCTCATATGCCAGAGTGAGGCCTACAAGAAGAGCGGCTGCGGGGGCTTGTTCGGGGAAGACAATGCCCAACTCCTTGAGTTCGCCATGGATGGTCTGCACCTTGGCGATGAAGTCGGCCATACCCAAGGAGTCCTCGAGACGGGCTCGGAACATGCTAGGGATGAGAATGTCCACCCCGACCGTTGTCTTGTTCCTGAACCGATCCTGGAGATGCTTCCAAATAGCGTTAGAGGTGAGGTATTTGTGGTAGGTGTTGACAATGTCGAGAGGGGTGCCAATGAAGATGCTAATGATAGCCGCATCGGCCTTCTCCCAACGGCCTTACTTGTCAACAGCTTCCTCGTACTCCCTCGTTGCAGCATCATTGGTAGTTTTGGTCGGCTTCGTGGGGGGGGGGAGGGGGGGGGGGGGGGGGGGGGGGGCTCTTTTCCCTTGCCGTAGTTGAGAAGAACATCCTTGAGGTCCAGCCCTTGCACCTCATGGCTCAAGAGGTGCTTGTCAACCTCGTAGCTCCATGCCTTGTAGTTGGAGCTATTGCCGCCGACTTCAAGGCGGAGCGGAGTGATGGGGTTGGCGATGGTGAAGGAAGCAAATGCCATGATGAATAACCCTTGTGTCTCTTGCGAAGCGCTGCGCTTAAGTCAACGAGCGGTGCACAGCGCGGCGATTTTGTAAACCGAGTGAGAGGATTTGTCAATGTCGGCCGCTTCGCAATGTCGCTTAGAAGGGATTTTTCTATCGGCGGAATATGGGTAAAACCGCCGATTTTGGTACAAGTGCCTTAGTCCCAACCCTACGCCCCCACACCCCCCCACACATCGTCCCCCAGGCCCTGTCCCTCAGCTTCGCGGCTTCACAGCTGCTCAGCTTCGCGGCTACACGACTGCTCTGCTTCGCGGGTGCACCTGTTCACCTGCACCTGTTCAGCTGCTGCCGTTAACGGGAATAGGCGCCAATCGTGATGGGGTGTTGAAACCAAGGTGGTGTGGGACTTTTGTAAGTTACACCGTGAATGTCTTACCGTAATCGAGAAGAAACAGCGCTACGTACTATACCGTTGATTAGCTTAACGGTAAGGAGAGTGACGCGGTAGAAATTCCGGCCAGAGATGCCGCGAATCAACAGCGACGGTATTGGCGTGGGAGAGGATTCGGTCAGAGAGGCTAACTCGATGTCGATGATCACTGTCAAGCGACTGATGTTTAAAGCGGCCTCGATCTCGATCACGGAGGAGAACCCGCAAAGGTAGGAAGATCACGATCCGCGTGTGCGGTTGAATTGCTATGATGCCATGATAGAACTTGAGCTTGAATTGATGCATTAGTAATGAGCTTGAAGCTCCTTAAGTGCATCCGAAATGAGCAAGGTAGGGATGGGGAGGGAATCGGGGGAAATCCCTAGGGATTGAGGATAATCCCAAGGCAATCTCCAATTGGTGGGTTGGAGATTGCTTGGTGATCACATTTGGGTTTGGTTGGGATGTGGGTGTACATCCAACCAAGCACAAAGTGCAAACTACACTAAGCGAGGATATAAAAAGCACAAGTACAAAAATTGAGATTGAGGGCTAGCACTAACACATTGCACATGCGCCCTTGCAGTCTCAACATGGGCGTGAGTGCTCATTTCACGAAGGGGTAATGGTCTTATCACAAGTGCCTACTGTTCTTATCATCCTCAACCCAAACGTGCAAGCCAAGCCCTCAACCCACTCTGCATGTCCTCTCTTCCCTGTTTATTTTTGTTTTAATTCCTCGCTCTACAGAATTCCACCCTTCCTCGTCTTATGCAAGGAGATTTCCCTCTCTAAACGGTGAGCCCTGCCCTTCAATCTGGCATTCGTTATGATCACCCACAATGTAGAGCTCATTTACTCGTTTGTGTGTTTGTCCACTGGTCCTTTCGTCCTGCTTTCATAAACCCAGGGAAGAATCGGATAAGACGTTTGCATGCAACCCAGTGTGGCGGGGCGGGGTGTGGTGAGGTGTGGTGGGGTGGGGTACGTCTCTTTCGTTGTGTGTGTTCACTTGATACTTGTGATACTTGTGGTAGTGATACCAAGTCTTGGTCGGCTGAACGCAACCTTAGCGGAATTTTAGGCAGTCTGACAGCTAAGGTGGCCACGTAGGAGGTCATGACTCCAAAGTATGTATTATTTCTTTCCCCCAATTCTCTCACCCCCCCCCCCCCTCTCTCGTCCTCACCTCCCTGCCCCCTGGCCATCTTCCAGGTGGTAATTCAGGTGTCTTGTGGAGACTCACACGCTGCTGCTGTGTCCAACACTGGCCTACTACAGACTTGGGGTGAGTGGGTGAGGTGCAAGCATGGCATGGCATGACATGGCATGGTGGGAGATGCGCAATCCTGCAAAGCTAGCATGGCATGGGTTGTGTGGGAGGGGTTGCTGACTCACACGTTGCTGCAGTCTCCAACGATGGGGGCAAGCAGGGGTGGATGGGGTGATGCAAAAATGGCGTGATATGGATGAGTGCAAGCAAGCATATGATTCACATTCTGCTGCTGCTGCAGTTGGGCAATGGCTGGTTGTGTGATGGGTTTCAGCGGCCGTGCCTGTTGATAGCAGGGGCGAGATGTGAGTCGACAGACAGAGGAGGGTGGGAAAGGGGGGAGGTAGGTGATGGAAGCAAAATACTTGATAGACTCATGCTGTGGCGGTGGCATGTGGAGGGTTTCACAGCGCTGCTGTTGACAGCAGGGGCGAGATGTGAGTCGACGGACAGAGGAGGGTGGGAAAGGGGGAAGGTAGGTGATGGAGGCAAAGTTCGTGATAGATTCATGCTATGGCGGTGGCATGTGAAGGGTTTCACACTGCTGCTGTTGATGCCCGGGGCGAGATGTGAGTCGACAAACAGAGGGGTTAAGAAAGGTGAACAGTCGATGAGATGTGAATGAAGAGAGGAGGGTGGGAAAGGTATCGTATATGAGGATGTGAGTGACACGAGTCATGTGGATTCTGTGGACATATGGGGTTATTGGGGCAGCTGGGGCACACACAAGCAAGGCGTACACCCCTGGGGATGTGTGAGAGTGACTTGTGCCTGTCCCTTTCATCCCTTTCGCTATCAACTTTGGATGGGAATGTAGGTACTCTTGGGGAAGGAGGTCGATGGGACATCTGGAGCGCGCACAGACAAGGCGTGGGCCAACTCAATTTCGTAGCCCCTTCTAGCTGTGCATGGGCAGGTACACCTTGGGAGGGGGCTTACTGGGGCAGCTGGGTGCACACAGGCAGCGGCCAGCTCAGGAAATGAGGAGTCGTCGAAATGACTTTTGAGTCGCCTCAAAAGTCATCAGGCAGCGGACAGCTCAGGAAATGAGCAGTCCTAAAAATGAACCTCTGTTATGTCCCTTTCGTTCCCTGCCCTTATTCGCTACCAACTGTGCATGGGCAGGTACACGTAGGGAGGGGGGTTACTGTGGCACACAGATGCAAGGTTTGAGCCATGTATGGGGATGCAAGAGGTATTTCTCTCCTTTTCATCCTGCCATCCACTGCGTTGTATGCATGCACAGGTACACGTGGGAAGGAGGGTTACTGGGGCAGCTGGGCCACCTAGGCAAGGACCAGGTCAGGGAATGGGGATTTCAAACCCGAAACCATGTGCCCACCATTTCATCCCTTTATCCTCTGCTTTCTGTGCACATCCAGGTACACGTGGAGAGGGGGGTTACTGGGGCTGTTGGGGCACCGGACGTTGTAGGCTCGGGGAGGCACATGTGAGGTGGTGGCGAGGCAGGTGGTGGCTCTTGAGGGGGTTTCAGTGACGCAGGTGGCTTGTGGCCGCACCCACACATGCGCTCTCACCCACAGGTGGGTATGTTGAGTGTGCATTCACGCACAGACACCCACACGTGCGCTCTCACCCACACGTGCTCTCTCACCCATAGGTGCATGTGCTGAGTGTGTATGTGCATGCACGTCTGAATTGTGTTGATAATTTTCTGTACAATAAGAATATCAATGCAAGTACAATAAGGTTGTTAACCACAGCATCTATTCACTGACCTAGGCCTCTTTCCACATGAGAGGGGCTACTCGTGACTTGAGAGGTGACTTTTGAGTTGACTCAAAATTCAACTCGTGACTTAACTCAGTGCACCCCACTCCTCTGCACCATCCCACCCTCCCTCCCATCCCCAACCACTCCCCCCCTCCTCCCAGGGGCTCCCTCTTCATCCCAGCATCCCACCCTCCCTCTTCATCCCACCATCCCACCCTCCCTTTACATCCCACCATCCCACCCTCCCTCTACATCCCACCATCCCACCCTCCCTCTACATCCCATCATCTAACCCTCCCTCTACATCTGCGGTATTGGCAGGGACGGGCAGCTGGGCACGGGCCCCACCTCCTGCTCAACTAACACTGCGTGTTGCTCTTCTCTTGAACCCTATCCCCCTGCTATTTTTTTCCCTCTCCTCTGTGCCTTCTTACCCCTACTCCCACCCCTTCCCCACTATCGAGGTGCTCGCTACATTTGGGGCGTGGGAAGAGACGGTCAGCTGTGCACAGGCCCCACCTCCGCCTCCTCTGCTCCCTCCTCCTTCTTGCTTCCCTCCTCCGCCTCATCCTGCCCGTCCTTCCACCACCTGCACAGCGGCTTCACCACCAATACCGCCACCAGCAGTAGCAGCAACAGCAGATTTGAAGGGCGGTTTGGGCGGGGATTTGGAGCAGGGGCGAATGTACCACATGTGTGGGCGGGTGCTCATCGTTAGCCTTTGTTAGAGGGCTGGTGCAGCACCCTCCTCTGCTGCTCATGCCTAAGGGGTGCAACTTGTTGGAATAACCTAAAGGTTACAGTAACATTCCTGAAGGCTCTCCACTTGCGCGTCACTCCATAACGAAACTACGCGCCTGTATCATTATCGCAATAGCTCATATAGAGCATGCGGAAGGTCGAGGGTCACCCGAAGGTCAACAGTCGAAGACAGTCAACGGTCGTGACCCTTGACTGCCCAGTAACCGAACTTGGAAGTTACGCAATGCAACATGGTAACTGTCAAGAATAGCAATAGTCGTGGTTACTGTAGCAATGCAATTCAGATAATAAGGGAATGTACCCCTCAGAGTACATGGCTATCTAGGATTGCTATTTATATCTTTGTACCACTATCCTTTAATCATCTTGTTCTCTTTCAACTTATTAACAAGGTCATTACAAAGACTTCATTGTCTTCTCTCAGACTTGATAGACTTATCCTATCCACTACGATCCTTCACTTATAACAACATGGTATGAGAGCTAGAGTGGATTATAAGGCATGTTAAGCTCTTATTCTTTCTAGAACAACCTCTTTATAAATTACTCGTCAAACTATTACAAACTCTGCATCTCTATGGCTCCCGAAGGAAAAGCCACTGCAGATTCTCTGGGCCCACCACCAGCAACGCCTACTACACCATCAGCGGTGACCTCCGTCAGCGCCACTCTCGTTGAGCAGCTGGTCGCTCGCATCAACGCTCCTGACAACCATCAAGCTCTGAGCATCGATGGCTCAAGCTACGCACGTGGAGTTGCTGGACTCCCTCTCCTTGGAGAAGACCGCCGCGTCAACTCCGAGAGGTCATTTACCTTTGACAACCATCAAGCTTCAGCTCCTGCGCAAGACAGTCAACACCGCACACAGTCAGAAACAATTGCGACAATGCAAACAAAGTTCATTCTGACTTCAAAGCTGAAGACACCAGTTCCTTTCGACGGCAAGGACTTCTACACGTGGAGCTTTGAGTTCGAGCTCCTCGCGACAACTGCGCAAATCTGGATGTACTACGATGGAAGCTTACCGTTTCCGACGGAAGGCACCATCCAAGAGAAGAACCAGTACTACTATGAGTCTCTTCTCGCGTACACCACTCTTCTCCGAAACCTCTCCCCCTCCTAGCATCTTGGCATTCGCTCCTACAAGTCAGAGTGGGCACCCACGTACGCTTCTTGGGAGCACTTGCGCAACTCATACATGGCAACAGATCCCGTTACAATGAGTCGCCTACTCTGCCAACTTACATCGGTTAAAATGCAACAAGGGGAGAAAGCGGGACTGTATATCAATCGGTGTCACAATCTACACGACCACATTAAGAAGTGCGGCGGAACCGTTCCCGACGACATGTTTGTTGGTGCAACCCTACGGTTTGCACTCGGCTTGTTGTCCGTGTGCGTGAATGTGTGTGTGTATGGAATGGTATGAGGGCATGGGATAATATATATTTCATGCTTATAATTGTGTGTGAATGTTGAGTCATGATGTCGAGTGTGTGTGTCGAGTCAATAGCGAGTTATCGCTAGACGCGTGTTACGCGGTCGTTTGTGTCTCGCGCGCGGTTTCTATTTTGTCGTGCGCGGTTTCTATTTTGTCCTGTGTCGAACGTTCGGCGTGTCGCAGGTGTGTGCAGCAGACCCATCAGGAACTCAAGGATGAGTTTGTGATGAAGAGCCCGAGCCTTGGTGTCAAGCCTCAAGTGATTTCGAAGCTCGCCAAAAGGGTACACCTCAAGATATTGAAGATAGTTACATTACTTTGTGTAGTGTAACATTTCACTTGGTGTAGGCCCTAGTGAAGGGTAGTTTCGAGACCCTTCGTGGTTGGGGACAGTGTGGCACTTTTCCACATCAATGTACCTCGGCTCTTGGGGTTTGTAGGAGCTGGGAGTCATTCCCAACTCGTAACTCTTCCTATCTTGTGTTCTAAGACTATAGTGGCTGCCATAGTACCGTTCGTTCAAACCGACGCTGTGTCGTCAATTCTTTATCAAATCGTGCAATCTAAATTGATAATTGTAGACGACGTAAATACGCTCCAGATCCAATTTGAATCAAGCCATTTGCAGCTGTGAGCAGAACGCTATCAACGTTTGAAGCCGCTGTGCAGAAATCCGTCTGTGCTCTCTATCTTTCGTTTTAGGCACATTCAAGCCTATTGTGACTATAACAAGTGGTATTAGAGCCCCTTGGAGCAGTTTCGACAATGTTTGGACCTGAGGAAAGGGGTGGCAGAGGTGCTGGTGGCAGTGGAGAAGCTCAAGCTCAAGGCCAACCCCGTGATTCAGCCATGGCGCCCATGCAACCAAGTCTTGGCCCACCTAGGGATGAGCCTAGGGTGTTTGGGCTTGACAAGTTCAACGGTGACAACTTTGCTGAATGGTCCTTCAAGATGGAGAACATCTTTGACCACTATGACCTGCTGGAGGTGATGGAAGGAACGGAGAAGCGCCCCGAGAACGACCCGGAGAAGAGCCCGTGGGTGCGGAAGAGCGCACAAGGCTATCTCTTACTTGGGCAAGCGTTGGGGAGCAGTCAGATCCGTCACATCAAGCCATTCCAGCGTGAACCAGAGAAAGGACCAAAGGCATGGGCTGCTTTCAAGGGTGTACATGCTCCTGCAACAGCGGCGGTAGCGGTGGTGTTGGAACGGCAAATGGCGGCACTACGAATTGAAGAAGACGAAGCGGTTGAAGAAGGGGTGCAGAAATTCTTCGACTTGTTGACGCGGCTTGAGGGAGCTGATTTGAACTACAGTGAGCTGCAAAAGAAAACCAAGTTGCTGGCCTTACTCCCAGAGTCATGGTCCTCGCTCATCATCAACCTTAATCGCGACTTGCCCCGCCTCTCGCTTGAAGACGTGAAGCAAGCTATCCTTCAAGAGGATTTCCGCCGCCGTGAGTTGGCGAGTGCGGATGGCGCTGGGGCAGCGAGCATCGGCCGTGGATATGGTCGAGGAAGAGGCAGAGGACGAGGGGGAGGAAGGTTTGGTGGCAGCAACTTCGGCGGAGGCCGCAGGAGTGGCGGTTACGGCAGCAACAACAAGAGCTACGGACGCGGTCGCGGCCGATTCGACGGCGAGTGTCACTATTGCCACAAGAGCGGACACATGTGGCGCGACTGCTACAAACTCCCTGATGGTTGGACCCCTGCTCAAGGCCAAGAGGGTAGAGGAGCAGGAGGAGGGAGAGGACGAGGCCGTGGAGGCCGTGGCGGTCGCGGTGGCGGAGCTGCAAACATGAAGAGCGGAGACAACGACAAGGACCCGAGCGACGATCGATACCCGGGTCTATTCTACTTCGTGTCGACGCAAGTACCGGCTGGTCCAGAGAAAGATGAAGGCTTTGAGGAGCCAGCAGCTGTGGGGAAGGTGACCCTACACCCCCTGGACTATTGGGTGATTGATAGTGGCGCTACCTATAGCATGACACCTCGCCCGGACTTGCTCACCGAACTCGAGCCGTCACCGGTGAAGCATGTCACATCGGCTTTGGGGCAGCGAGCAGAGGTGAAAGGCATGGGCAAGGCCATGTTCAAGGGTGCTGATGGGAAGATGGTGGGCCTCAAGAACGTGCTTTGGGTGCCCAGCCTTGCTGCAAACCTGATTTCCGTGCGGCGGTTGGCAAAGGCCGGCATGGACACGAACTCGAAGGGAGCCAAGACCTACACCGCAAGGCTTGGCGATCGAATTCTTTGGGACCTTCATGAGGACAGGGATGTCTACAACGAGATGTGGCAGATCCCAGTGGTCCCTATGCCTAAGGAGAGGCAAGTGGCAGCAAGCATCAGCACCAAGGATGGAGCAGTCGGTAGCGACGATGGCGCGAACGGTCGCGCTAAGGAGAATGAGCTCAAGAAGAGCAAACCTGGAGGGACCAGCAAGTTCAGTGAACCTAAGGAGAGTGGTGCAGCAACCAAGGAGCAGCAAAAGGGTGAGGAGAACCCAGAGGCAGCAGCGGAGGAGGACTACGGAGAGAGTATGTGGGGCGCTATTGCGAGCGCGGCATTCTCCGATCCAACTTCGGCTACGGGGGAGTGTGATTGGCTCACCTTGCATCGGCGCATGGGGCATGTGGCCCTGCCCATCTTGCAGCAGCTAGTGAAGAATGAGATGGTTGCTGGCATACGTGTGAAGGGGGAGCCCGATGAGGTGCTTGGCTGCCCGACGTGCATTCAAGCCAAGTTCACCCGGTTTCCGTTCCCTAGTTCGGAGGCAACGGCAAAGGCACCGCTTGATGAGGTGGTGATGGACGTGGTGGGCCCCCTGAAGCTTGGAGCTGCTGGAGCTGAGTATTTTCTCACCATTGTCGACGTCTACACCCGCATGACTTGGGTGTACGTGCTGGCCAAGAAGAGCGACGTGGCTGAAACGTTGAAGACGGATTGGTTCCCGATGGTGGAGCGGCAACAAGACCGTCTAGTCAAGTCAATCCGCACCGATCGAGGGGGAGAGTTCCTGAGCAAGGAGTTTGGGTTGTGGCTGAAGAAGAATGGTATTCGGCACTCCCTCACCATGCCATACTCCCCTGCAATGAACGGCATCGCCGAGCGAGCGAACCGCACAATCACGGAGGCGGCACGCGGGTTGCTCATTGAAGCCG